ACTGGACAAAATATCAAGTATCTACTCGCTCCAGTTTAAACTTGATCAATTTTTGAAAATTGTTCAACTTGAAGGTTCTGGTCAGGTTCGACTGTGAGTTTGTTAATTCCTGCAAAATCATTCTGCAGCCCGTTTTTATTGAAATTTGGGCCGTTTGTAGTGGTCGACTGTTCTTAAAGCTGGACAAAATTTCAAGAGTTTATTCTCTTTGGTTTGGACGGGACAATTTTTTGAAAATTGTTAAATGTGAATGTTCTGGTTACTCGCGACTGTCAATTTGTTAATTCCTGCAAAATCCGTTTGCCGGCCATTTCAATCCAGATTATGGAAAATTGCAGCGCTCTGCCGTAGACACGACTGGACAAAATATCAAGTATCTACTCGCTCCAGTTTAAACTTGATCAATTTTTGAAAATTGTTCAACTTGAAGGTTCTGGTCAGGCTCAACTGTAAGTTTGTTAATTTCTGCAAAATCATTCTGAAGGCCGTTTCTATCGAAATTTGGGACATTAACAGCGGCTGATTGTTCTTAAAGTTGGACAAAGTTTCAAGAGTTTATTCGCTCCGGTTTGGACGGGACAAGTTTTTGAAAATTGCTTAATGTGAAAATTGTGGTTACTCGCGACTTTAAATTTGTTAATTCCTGCAAAATCATTCTGCATGACGTTTTCTATCGAAATTTGGTACGTTTGCAGTGGTCGACTGTTCTTAAAGCTGGACAAAATTTCAAAAGTTTATTCGCTCCGGTTTCGACGGGACATTTTTTTGTCAAATTTTTTTGACAAATTTGTTAATTCCTGCAAACTCATTCTGCATGCCGTTTCAATCCAGATTATGGACAATTGCAGCGCCTTGCCTTAGCTACAACTGGACAAAATTTCAAAGCTCTACTCGCTCCAGTTTAAACTGGACGAATTTTTGAAAATCACCCAACTTGAAGGTTCTGATCAGACTCGACTGTAGGTGCTTGCAATCCGAAGCCAAAACGCCAAAAAAGCTCCGCATTTGCCAAAAAAGTTAAAAAGTTGCTATTCAAGAGCCTTGCACATTCGGCGCTTTTCAGGCTTATTCCTGCTGACCCGCTGAAAAGCTTGAATATTACGAAATTGGGTCATCGAGTGCAAGTCGATTGACTTTGGATGACTCGGCTTTCATCATAAACGAAACGCTGACGCCCACAAGCTTGACCTTTCTTAACCGTCGCCTTGTTTAACATTTAACGAAGCTTTTCCGAGTCGTAATCGCCAGAAAAACCACAATTTTTTTAAAAACTTACCTGGGCCAGATTATTGCGGACGGGACTATCCATCAGTCTTTGCAGAAATATCAAGTCAGTTTCTTTGATTTCATTGCGCTCTTCCAACTGGTCGATGTTCTCTTGTACGTGTTGGAATGCGGCTAGAAAAAATAGTTTTAAGTTTGAATGCTGATGTTTTACACTATAGGAGGTCTTGTTCTGGATGTTATGAAAGTTTGCTTAAACCTCAAGTTTCCTGAATATACCTACGTTGATTGATTGATAGAGTGAGTTTTTCCCGGAGTTTCAAAATTAACTTTTTACGCACGATAGTAAGTTTGTGTAAGTAAACCTGATAAACTAGTGGAAATAAGTCTGTCAGCAAAGCCACTTAATATTCATCAGGCAGACTAAAAAAAGGAATTTTTCAATTTCCAGCGTCAATCGTCCGCTTTCGATAAATCAATTTGGGTGGAATTTACACTTTGGGCCATTTTGGCCCCAGATGGGTTTCGACTGTCGTCAGTGGATTATTTCTGAATCCACTATTTTAAACTGCTCACTTTGAAAACGTCTATTGTAACATCGCGTGCATGCAAAGATGAGTGAAATGCTTGTTTATTGTTCCGCCGCTCACTTTTCCTGATATCCCATAAACACGTTCATCCATCTCGAAATTCACCAATAAACATCCTCAAAACTCTAATTAAACAATCTCGCTTTCAAAGGTGGTTTCCCACAGTTGTTTGTTGGGTTAAACTGTTGCAATTTCGCGTGCTTGAGTGGAGGAATGAGGCGAAATTGACGACGTTGAAACACTCACCTGCAGCAAGTGGAAAAACATGGGAAATTGATGAAACTCTAGCCGAAACAAGCGACAAGTTGCCCGCAAGGAGAACAAATGAATTATTAAAAATAGCACTCTTTTCCCCACTTGCTAGACCTCATTCAGCGATTTCCCCAATTTATTGACTAACGATACTTCCGAACTGTTTATATTGAAAACGAACGTCTCATTTTACAGTATCCAGAGCTCGGAATTTCCACGATGGGACCTGCATTTTTTTGGGGGGTTTTGTTGTTTTTAATGGAAAACCGCCACTTACCATCACAGTTGCTATCGGGCTTTCCATTAGATTCCAGGCTCATTTTTTTGAAACTGTGCAAAAGCTCACGTTTTTCGAGACACTCGCCGTTTTTCCCGAATCGCACCATTTCGACTTTGAATCGTCTCTCGCACACCCGGACTGAACATTCCACCCTGTTTCCGGTCCACACAATTTCTCTATTCTGGAAGTGTTACGCCTTCGCCCTTTCTGTTCACTGGAAGCTGCTGTACGGTCGCTATGATACAGCTCAGATTAAGCAGGGACGGATTTCCATTGGTTGGCACGCGATCTGTGCGCTTTGAAGCTCACTAATAAGAATCATGCTACTTTTGTCCTTAAAAGCGCTGTTTAGTGTGGGATAACC